CTCACGAAATGATGGTCTTAAAGATTGAACTCTGGGTTATTCCTTAGAAAAACTATTCAACGGTACTTATTTTACCAATACTCTTGATATTATCTACTGTAAAACGATAATAAAAAAAACTGGTAAACTATAAACAACATTTTCATGTTGGGTTTTTTTTGAGACTAAAAACGTTTAGATCATTTCATTGGTGAAGACAATACTAATCATACACTTGTTTTCTGTTTCAAACAGTCTGCTATATTGTATAAATTGACTGGTCCTCAATTTTCTTGACTTCTATTATCACAGTTTTCTCCTTGAATCTGTTTGTATATTCCTCCACAAACCCAACTTAGCAAATTACAATATTTAATTAATTAGTATTTTAATTTTAGGGACAACAAACTTGTGTTAGTTTTGAATTAAAAGTAGTACGTTTTTGTAAATAAAAAAAACGGTGGTAAAGTGAACGTCAGACGGCTATAAATAATACTCGAGTCGTTATAAATTTGAATTCGTTTAAGTTTTAAAATATCGTACATCTCGAATTACCTAACTAATAACTGACGGATTTCCAGATTTTAATGTGTTTGATTTCTATCTACTTTTTAACTATTATCCTTTATCTGTATGATAATAGTAATATTATGGTTGTTGACTTCTATTAGAAGTGTAGATGCAGTTGTTACTTTCCTGTTTCTTTTGTCGTGTAAGTGTGCTTCTTTTTGAGTTACCCAAAAAGATAATTAAATTAGTAGTGGTCTTAGCGGCGTGAAAGCGGATTCGTGGATTTCAAGGGACAGCTGCTTTTGGTTAGTCATATACCTCGTTTTTTGTGAGTTCTTGATGTTTCTACTACATACTTTAAAAACCTTATCTCTGACATCATAAATCCATGTGATAAGGTAGGGTGTGATATTATTATGGCCGACCTTTTCTGACCCTCTCCTTTTGTAGTCAGAGAAGAAAACAGATGTTGGTTGTCTGAAAGGAACAGTTTACTTCTATCATAACTCAGTACAATTTCGCCCTCGGACCATTAGTGCTACCGTTCTCCGTCCTACCTGCCTGTCATGTTAGGATCCAAAGGAGCGAATACTCCATTATAGCTTGACTGGATCATCGTGATCATCAAGCCAGACCACCGCATCCAGGTAGCAGGTATGATTGAAGCAATTTGTTTAAGTTATCTAATATATATATATATATATATATATATATATATATATATATATATATATATATATATATATATCTTTAGTTAACTAGTTTTCTCTTTCCTGTTATTCTCCTCTACCCCATTGATTCACCTTAATTATCAGTTATTATAGCCAGTCATTACACAAATATCATTTTTGAACATAAATATTTACCTATTGTAGTTTTAAATAATAATGGGAAGGGGTAGAGCGAAACAAGCGCAAGTTGACATGGCTACGTGGAATGTAACTGCAGCATTTGCATATAGATATGTCAAATAATTAAATGATTTATCAGTCTCATTTTCATTTGTGTATATATACATGTATATGTAGATAAAATGGTCTTTGGACTGATTGTCGCCTGTTCTTTCGTCCATAATTACACTTTACTTAAACCATGCGACTTTATATGTTGTTTCAATATCCGGTAGTCGTTTTTTACTGAGTGTTGCCTTTATTGTATTGTCATTTGCCTTATAGTTGACACTACGTTATAGTGTGATTCGGCTATTGACAATTGACATTTGTTATTTCTTATCTCTTTTTCTTATTCTAGTCTGTGTTTATCACTAATTTGTTTCAATTCGATCCACTCTATGATCATGATCGCGTTCAAAACAAATATAAAGTTTTTCATGTCAAACATCTATTGTTTTTTGTTTCATATGTACTTGTCTATCCTAGAACTCAGGTTGTTGGTTTTTTATTGACTAGATTGACGAGAAGTCAATCATATATTCGTAATATACTTTCAAAATGTTACTGAATTTTCTTCTTGTAAAAGTATAATGCAGGGACAGCGTCGATAGATTAAATTGATTTTAATGTGTTTGTTGATTGACCTGAGTGCCAAGCATCTAAAAATATTCTGGTGTTTTTAGAATTGCCTCTATCCAAGATCTCAACATTTTTCCAGTCGAATGTGTGTCCACAGTTGTCCATATGCATTGATATAAGCGAAGATTATGTCATGGCGTTTGACGGGTAATTGATGTTCGTGTAGATGAAGAGGGCATGTACTTTGTCCGATTTAGTGTTTTTTGCAGTTAGAGCAATTTATTTGGTAGATACTGTTCGCTTTTTTATTTTGTCACTTTGTCTTTGGCTTGCTTGTAAAATCACGTTGATCAATCCTAACCTTAAATCTCTAATTTTTACCCTGATTACACAATCCTAACTTAAAAACAATGTGAGGACTTTAGAAATCTTTGATAAATGGATAATTGAGATCCCTATAAGGACGTGGTTTTGTTGTCGTTTTCCGATTTAATGACAGGTTAACCTGTGTTGAAGACTTCAATATCCTTATTAAATATGTACACCCCTTTTTACACTTGCTAATATTATTGTTCTCTTTCCCATAAACTATCTACTTAAATTGTTTTGTGATTGACTAAGAACTAGATGAAAATTTGTCATAGTTGTTTTAAGTTCGTTTTTTATTTACTACAATTTTTAATTGAATAGGTGTTACGTCCTTAATCTAATAATATACAGTAGAGAACTTGTGTCGATCTGGATTAAGGCCTTGACACGATAAGATAACTGGCTTAACCTTAAGGCTAGAACGCGTGGGTCCGAATCGCGACCGTCTTGGGTAGAGAGACGAAAACTATTCTGTCACCTGATTGGTTGACAAGTGAGAGAGAAAAAAGATATATATATATCTATATATCTATTCAGATTCAAACTAGTGCAAAAAAGATACATGAATAAATAAAAACATGACCACAACGCACAAACAATTAGAGAAATACAATTATACCCAAACTGGGCATTGGGGTAGGAAAATAGAGTACCGAAGGTTACGTCTAAATTACAATATCTTTGGAACAGAAAAGGGTATGGCAGTGAATCATACATCAAACGAAGGCTTATGGTTCATAGAATTAACTATGAACAAAACTGAGTGTTAGTATTTTACAAACTTTAAATTAAGTGAAATAAAGTCCTCAAAAGATAGCTTCCTTTGTTTGTCATAGCTTCTTTGTTACTTTGTTCACATCAATAGGAGACTTCTATTGTCCCCCAACCGCTTTCACATTGTTTGTTAAACTCCTTTTCCAGTAATAGTCCGTTGGTTTCCTAAGACTCAATATCTAAGTATGCTTCTTTTTGGCGAAGTCATTTTTATATCTTTAAATATTTATCCACTAGTTATTTTACCAATATGCGATATTTTCCCCCTATACTCATGGAACCGTTCATTTATCAACATATTTGTGTTCTCATTTTTAACCTTTCATGATGTCTGTTAGTTTTCACAGTTGTTAGTTGCTTCAAAATGAAATATGTATGTTTCGCTTCAGTTGTTAGAGTCATCAATGAACAGAAACGTTTCAAGGTATAATTTCAGTACTACTACTATGCTTTCATCAAATTCGCTGTTTTTTTTTCATCCCCTTTACTCATAAGCAATGCAGAATCTGGCATGCATGTTTATTGGTTCAAGTTGCCATATCATATCACTACAGTCAAGACGAATCCCATAGTAGTAGCAGTATTAAGAGTATCAGTTGGAGTAGAAAAAATTAAGTATAGACAATATAACTTGACAAGAAATACCAAGTTCATTGAATAGGAAAGTATGAGATAATTTTTAAATTCAAAGTAAATACATCTGGATCATTCTGACCGTTCCTAATATGAACAAAAAAAATCCCAGAATCAATATTAAATAATTTTATAGTAATTGGCTCTAGATAGCCCAACAGTATCCTGGTTAGTTACATCCCAGTTACAGTAGTTCAAATAAAGCCAATAGACAGTACAACAGCAAACTTTCACGTTGTGTGAAAACAGCGGGAATTTATAAATATTAACTTTTATAAAAGTTATTTTATGTATTCTATATGTTACAACTGTTGAATTTTGAGGCTTAATATGTTGATACTTCTATAGTAGTCGGTTTACCGAAATCAAGTTGCATAACCATGATAAAGCAACAGTTGAAACAGTGTGTGGTTTACATGGCTTATATATATATATATATATATATATATATATATATATATATATATATATATATATATATATATATATATATATATATATATATATATATATATATATATATATTAGTAACCGTTATCTGTTTAACCTAGTAACGTTTGTTTTTTCTCCTTACAGTAAATAAACAAAATAGTTTTCAATGTTTACAATAAAATAATATTCGTTTTTATTCATTATTACAGTATTTATAATATCTAGAATGAATATTAAACACTGTAATACTATCTTAATAAATTGGTATAAATATCACGTTCTCAATCGTAAACAGTATAGTCTCTAAGGTCTTATTTTTCAATCAGTAAATCAATTAATGTATACACATTGTTCCACTTACTTAGTTTTAGGTGTTAGCCTTACGTAAGAATGAAAAGACACTCAAAATCAACCATATTTTATTCTCATTCTGATCAATTTATGTTGCGTAATATATGTTGTCTTTTAAATTAACTTGATATAATTGATATATATATTACTACTCTATTATGGGATGATATTAAAAAAAAAATTAGAGTATGTTAACGTATTTGGTTTCATTTGTAGTTTTTCCTCTCAAAAAATAACTATCTTCAAGACTGCCCAGCTTACGTTTCTATCACTTTTTTATATTTGATCTTTCGAAGTAGATGTTCTTTGTTTCATAAATGATAGATAATTAGTGAAGTATTGTTTAGTTGTATGTAGAAGAACTATCCCTGACTTGATGGGATCATTTAATGTTTCTTCATACGCATGGTTTATTGGTTACATAATCATTGTGTGTTTCATAAAACTCTGCTTTCTAACTAAATGTTTACTGCAATTTAGGATTCGAATGCTACAACTGGCGTTATTTCTACACCAAGTAATAACACTTCGACATCAACAGCATTTAGTAACTCAAATAATGATCTACCAACTCCTAGTTCTCCTGTTCGTTCACATTCTGTCATAACAAACGCGTTTCAAGGTCAGAATTCTTCCATAAATACTAGTTCATCCGTTGTACCTGGTTATGCTACATTGTAAGTAACGTGAGAGGTATTATTATACGTTATTTCTTTTTGAAGTGGTTATATTTTTGTACATTTTGTTACTAGAGAATTTAAAATAATCCTAACATATGTCTGGTCGCCTTGGTTTTTATCAAGTCAATAAATATCCGTCGACAAAGATACTAAAAACCTAAAAAGAAAGCTGAAAACTTTTTAGCCAATCATCATCGAATAGATACTTTTCATAAACATCTAGAAAACTGAAGGATTAAGTGTCACAATTTATTTGGTTGACTACTCGTGGTTTTCATATATGTGGTATGTTTTCAGAAGTTTCTAGCATACCAAGGTCATCCGTGAACCTATGAATGATCCCGTTTTTCTGAACATAGATTAACCTTAGAATATACTTTTTAATTATATTGCATGCCTTTTCTTTGTTTGGTTTAGTTTTTCTAGTTTAGAAGTAAGCCGGAAATATAGGAAATGTCTAGGACGTCATTAACAAGCGTCCAAATAAGAAAATTTATCAAATTTATTCACAGTTAAGATGTTTTCTCCTCTCTACTCATTTCAATGTTCCCCAATAAAAGTTATGAGTCGGAAGGCAGTGAAAATAAAACTTAGAATTTTCTTTATTTGTCATAAATTTAACACGCAAATTGGTGAGTAGCGCTTCGTTGGTCATGACGATATCGGACTTATAACCTCATACAAATTCAATTGAATTTGCCACACCACATTAACACAACTAAATAAGATTAATAAGGTAAATGCCAGAGTAGTAAAAGCAGAAATGGTATGGTATCAGCAGCTGTCAAAACGTCTAGACATAAGAGTTATAGTATGGGGATAAAATATGAGTTCGTGGAATAAAAGCAATTATAAGATAGTTTAAAAACTTAGGATCTAAGGGAAAACAAAATATGAATGCACCTTGTATATTGCGAATGGTTGTGAGCTGTGTCACTCGAAGTATCCAGCTACTGATCATGATTATCGCATGAACAGTAACCAAGTGATCTGCATCTATTTACATAGCTCAGACTTTGTGGACGAATACCACTTTTTAGTTTGACTGGCCCTTGTTTTCTTCCAACCTACTTCTGCAACAGTGAACATCGTTTGGCAATGTCTACAGGGATCGGATATGTGTAAAACACATCCCTATCATCTCAGTTGATAAAAATTTGCCGTCTTTACCTGGTACTCTACGCTTAACCGCAAGATTGCTTACTTTTTGACCTCAACATACTCAATCACCCACAAAGTTTAATAGCAACATTTACAATTACTCTACCCGAGTGATTCGATTTCAACTCTTGAAATGACATAAATTTCAAGTGGATTTATAAGACATTGTCTTCTGATAGTGAAGATTTGTAACTTGTTGGTAGTGTTGCTTTTTGTGAATTGAATGATTCACTTATTATTACATAGTAATAAAATTAATTAGATTAAGGGGATTTCCAAAATTTTGAATTAAGGAAATTTTAAACACCAGAGAATTTATAAAAATATCTTGACTTATCTGCAATCAGTAGGTTCATCAATATAAATCCAATATATCCAGTCATACAGAATAATAGTTCAGTCAACCATAATATATTCAGTGGTGGTCAATCGAATAAAGCGGTCAACATGAACACAGAAGTGTATCAAAACAACCATACATGCGATAACAATTTACCAATAAGTTTATGTAATCAAAATTATATGTTGCGCTTGTAAAATAATTTTGAAATTCCATTCTTACTTTAAGTGTAGATGACAATGTTGTTCAGAATGACAATAATTATATTAATGCTGACTAGTTTTAGAGACTGATGGCAGAAAGTTAGAAGCGGTCAAACCAAAACGTGGCAGTAATCTTTGAAGTCACACACTTCTGGTCTGAACCATGTTGGTAGATGCAGACTAATTGGTTTGGGTCCTCGTGACTATCGTAACCAATCTTTGAAGACTTTGTATGACATAACTCAGATTCGATCACAAAGATGTAGGTGTATACACTTTTCGTTTTTCCTTAAAGCGTGAAATTACTTCATACCTTTCTTTCTACGAACTAGTTCTTTCTTCCTGTATTATATCCTTATACACAATCTTTCTTTTATATATTGCTACCATTGAAATAACTACGTCTATGGATTTGATGTTGATCTTGTTGTGCTAATGAGGTATGGCAACATTGACTAGTGCATATATGTACCTGGTTCTAAGTTGTAGCAAACTGACTGATAGTCATTTCAGGAAGCACAATATTACTCAATTCTTATTGCTTACAATTACTAGTTTTTGTACAAAATATTCTTAAAAAGTCAACAATTGTATTATACATATATTATGTTTATTCAAATACCTATTTGTTTGAAATAAAAGTATAAATTTTCATCTTCACACACCAGTTTTGTTTCAAATAAATAATTATTATTATACATTTACTATATCTAGACGAAAAGTTTCCAGTCCATCTTTGGATTCAACAACAATTAATTCTCTATCCAACTCTTGTTCAACTAATAATTCCAATAGTGGAAGTACAACAGTAAATCGAGCTGATTTAGAAGCATTTAAGCGTGAATTAATATCGGAATTTCGTCGAGAAGTTCAACAATTAAAAAATGACGTAATCGAAGGTGATCTTGACTTTTTTTTTAGTGATGTATAGGTTACATTTAATTACTATTTGAGAATATATATTTTTGATTTATTAATATCTTTGAAAACAATAGCTAATTAGCGTTTATTTATTATTTGATAGAAATGCTTTACCATTAAGTACAATATCAAGTTAGTGTATACAAAGTTTGTCTAGTTATTTACTCAAATATCATTCACTAGTCTTCATCGCTGATACATATGTTAACGCTAATTTTATACACCTTGTCAATAGTGAGTTGTAGAGGTAATCATCAAAAAGAATCCGTGACTAATTTAGTTCCGACATATCGGGTATGAGACAAGCATCCACCACAAGTAATGCAAGAAGATCACTCAGTATCGCCAAATGGTTGAAATCAAAACATGGGTCGTGGCTAACTCACCAGCACGAGGGTCTTGGGTTTGATATCCTTTGAAGTCGTGGATGTGCACTGTTCAGAGGAAATTACTGTATAATGCTTTCCGGTTTCCAATAATGGTCTAAATAAGATCAATGTGTGATATATTCCATGAAGCTTCCCTATACGTTAAAATTGTACATAATTGCCATTCATCTGATCATTGGTTTTACGTATTTCTATTCTCTTTTCGTTTTTCTTTTAGCTCTTCGTGCATCTTCTGTTCGAAATTGTTAGTTGAACTATAATGAACCACTGATTGATGATCATCTTCAACATCTTCATAGATTAAATGAAATGTTTGTTCGCTTACCTTACTTCTTTCTCTTGTTGTTTTCTTTTCTACACTTTGACTGTCCTTTCTCCATATTTAATCAAAGAATAAAGAATATTATTAATACAAATAAACAATGCTCACCTAACATTCCATAATGTTGATAATAAATAGTCTGTTGAAATTGTTCTTTGGTGTAAATCATCTTAATGTTCTGTTTATTTATATGGACACATTATATTATTATTATGTGTATCAGTCAACATATTGTGCTTCTGCTAAAACGTCATTTTGGTAATGATAGACAAAGTTGATTTGGTATTGTTGTTGCCCTGATTTCTGGGCTACGTACATTTGTGTGTGTATGTGTGTGTGTAAGTCTGTGAGTATATCTGTTCAACTTCCTTACATACAAACGACGCACTACCCCTATTGGTACAATTTACTCTGATATATGCATTTCATTGTTATCCTGTAGTTGTTGCTCTCGTTTTTTCCCCATTTCTTATTGTATATTGCAGAATTGTTTGCTTAACTTTTCTCTGTCTCTGTTGATTCCACCTAATAATGGTATGTTTTCTATGATGCTAATAATGATTATAACAACATTTTAAGAAAGGATCTGTTAAGATAGTTAAGAATTATTCATTTAAAAACCTGATTTACACTTTGTTTGTTCTTTATTTGACTTCATTTAAGTCAATGTTTACATTTTATTCTCTATCTATTCGTCAATTTCTTTCTTTTATTATAAAAGTTGCCTAAACTCGTATATATTGTTGTTTTGTGATCTATGCACACACTAACCTTCAGTCACATTTTGTGTATTTTCACTTACTAGGCTTTCATCATTTGTAATGTAATTAAGTAAATCAGTACTTTTTATAAATGTTTCTATGTATAAATCTGCACTTGGTATGTGCACATGTGCTTTTGTAATGTTTCCGTTTGAATGAGACAACAGATGAAATATTTTTGCTGAGTTCTTCTTTCATTTTGTTATTGGCTTCTCTCTCTTTTTGTTTATGGTATTTCAGATAGTTGGATAATAGACAACAAACTGTTCATTTCATTATATTTACTTCAAACTAGAAGCATTTCATTTATCTCTCTTATTCTCTATGCATCATCTTTAGTGATTCTTATCTTTAAGATTGTTGAAGACCGGTTTACAGATATACAGTATAGTATTAACTGCCATCATAGTCAATGCTTATCATCATTATTATATTTAATACTTTTCGTAAAACAAAAAAAACATTGCGTTTATTACAGCTTACGATTGTTAATTTGTTACGAAAACTGAATACTTTTTTTTCTAGGTTGTTCTTCCTGTCATCATAAATTGTCCATTTGATATACGATTTAGTGTGTTTGTGTGTGTGTGTGTGTATATGTGAATTATTTATTCTAAAACTTTATCATAATAACATCGCTATAATTACCATAGTTCACTACAGTGTTCTATGTTTTTGCTTTTCCTTTTTGATGAGTAGCTCCCAACTCTTTCTTTTCTTCTTATCTGGATATTATTATTTTCTATAAAAGTAAAACTATATTGCATTTCATTACAATTTTATGGCGTAACCACATATTCTGATGAGATTCCTCTTTATCTCTATTAAAATGTGTAGAACTCTTTGTTACTTATCATTGTTGCTAACATCGGTATTATTTTATCGTTTACTACTTCATATATATATCATTATTCTACTGGTGGATTTTCATCGTGTTTTTTTTATAAAAAAAAACTATATTCCTAACATCATATAGAATGATACTTCAACTCGTGTTCTTTTTTTGTTCTTTTTTCATTTGAATAAACGGAGTTGTAACAACAGAACTCATTGTGCTGTTTAAAAGGATTTTAACTGAAGAAAATTAGGAGACGATGACTAGTAAATGTATTTGTTCACAGTAAAACAAGTTCATATTATGATTACTCCTTCTTATATGTAGTTCCTCGATAAATACATAATAGTATTTCATGGACTCAATGGTCTATATTTCATCAAAGTATGAATTGTGTTTTATCAATTATATCATGAATTTACCTGTCTTAAAGATTTCATTGATTATTCAAACATAAAACTGTCCGATTTACTTTATGTACAGTAGGATGATAATTATAATTTCCATTAGTAAAAACGTAATCAACTTCGACGTCTCACAACTTTCACGCTACCCTATGGAGTTCAGCCGGTATAAATCATGCAATGGTGTTTCACTGAACAGCTTTAGTGTTGTCTACACACATTTGTTCGACTTAAGAGAGCGTTCATTTTATGAACCTACATTTGCCTTAAACTGAACAAAGAGTGTAGTAACTTAAATACTAACATATCCACGGAGGTTTTTTCGTAGATAGTGTTATAACCCTGGAAGGTGATTTTTGATAAGTGAACACTTCAATTCACATGACATAGAAGAAGACAAAGATCAATGTCATGAGGATTTTATACACCCTCCAAAAAATAGGACAAATGATTTAACCAAATATCTCCATTTATATACTGATTTTACTAACATTTTAATTATTAGGTAACAAATTTGAGCGGACCATCATGAATTCATTTTATTTCGTTTCGTTCTAATCAGCTACTTACAACCTCTGACATTTGGAAATCACTATTACAAAATGAGTTCACAATGCGTAGGTAAAGAAATTTAGTTGAAAGTTACTATGATCACACAGTGTACCATATTAAGGATGTAAATAATTTAGACTAAAATATTGTAGATATTTATGTTATAACGGTTGGGTTTTCCACGTTTACGTAGACGTAAATTTACCTTAGATGAATATCTACACCAGATTCCCTCCCAGTGTCTATTCTACAGGACTTCAACACTACTCAGATCAAGAACGTGATTAGCCTGATCAGAACGTAAATACATTTCCACACCAAAACCCGACATAATCCAACAACAATGAGCAATAGATAATAATAATTTCAAGGATAGGGGAATATATAACTCAGCTGACACCTGTCAGACTATCTATGTCTGACTAAGCAAACAACCAATCATTATCATCCTCGCCTACATATCAATAAATCTTATGTTTAAGAACGTTACTCAACACAGATGATAACTAAAGAGCCAGAAACAACGAGTTACGTTACGTAACAGATAAACCCTGATAATAAGAATGAATAAAATCAGCCAGTTAAAATATGATTGCTAATCTAGAAGACAGTGCAAATGAAAAGACGTAATAATTTGGTCATTTAAAAGAATGATTTGAACAAAATTCTTCACGAGAATAAAAGGAGCTGTGTATGAAATACCTCATGTTCGAAATACGAGAAACGTATGGCGAGATTGTACAGTGAATTAGTGTAAAACCCGTGCTGCATTTTATACTGATCGAAATCCATACCAAATTAGTCTGAAGAATACTACATTGCACAAATGTCACTCTGAAGTTAAATGGATGTTATGCCAGATAATTATGACGCTGAATTAAAACGTGGTCACGTAGTTGTAGGCCGTTTTTCAAAAATGGTTTTCTATCGACCATTATAATACTGTCCATGATAGATAAGTAGTTTAATCTTTACGGAAATAATACTATAACAAATTCAAGTTCTTTAATAAGACGGTCTCATATGTCGCTATGCATTGTTAATTTGTTATCGGCACAACATATTTTACAGTTGTAACCATATTCTGTTAAATTGTAAGAGGAACCTTTGACACATAGCAAGATTCATTGTAAAAAAGCTAGAGAACTGTTGAAAACGAAGTAACACTGTATATCTGTTCAATTCTGTTTTGGAATTCATCTGCTATGTAGATCAGCTATCCATACAGGACTGAACCCAACCTAAAACATGATACCTATCTAGTCAACTATGCTATGCATGAAATAATAACCACAACATACCATAAGTTGACTGAAGTTAGTCAGTGATGCTGTCCATAATTGTCTAAAACCACCATGATTATTACAGGACTTAATGAAATCGATCTCAATCCCACATAGTTGTATAAGTTCGCGCTCGTTTTTAAAGAGTCCTGAATCCGTATGTTGAATTCTTTCTGATATTTCGTAACTCTCAATCTAATATCATTTCGTATGGAAATTTATTTTCAATTCATTACCTATTTATCATATAGTTGATTAACGATTCACATGACTTACAGTGGTATTTTGTCTAACTTTTCTACACTATTATTCATTCATTCATTCTGTTGTGCTTTTTTTTCGCGGAAAACATATCTACTTAAAAATGAACGAACAAAAATGTTTCTAGACTTATTTCCTTATCTGATTATTTCAGCATGGTAAAACAAAAAAAAACAAATCCAAAGTTTGAAATGTCATTTTTTCCAATATAAACAAGTATTTTGATAAGCAATAAAATAAGCTTAAATACCTTGTTGTTGGTTGATTTGGTTTGGTTAAAAAAAACTTGAAAATTAGGTTTAATTTAGTGATACTTTAAAGAATACGGTAATGTTAGTTTCTAAGTTACTTCATTGTAACCAATCTGTCAGATATTTTGATTAATAATCAAGTTAATGTCAGTTTCTTGTTTGCTTGTTTTTTTCTAAAAAAGAAATGTCATCTAACGTTGAAATAAAACGGGAAGAGTTCGTCCATTAGTTAGTGTGATTATGTACATTTAGCTACAGGCTTTTTATTCGTATGATGGTTAAATATTATACTCTGTCATTTAAGTGAAATTTAAACGCAGTTAATCGACTGATAATAAATGATAAGAAGTTCAATATTAAGAATATGTGTACAATCACAAATGTAATAAATATTACAGTCACATAACATACCAGGGTAAAAGCAATAAGACAAAAGTTGATGACCTGCTTGAACATTTGGCCTACATGTTCCTGCTATGTAGATATTTCAACAAGTTATCTATTTTTATGCATTTCTGAAAAGTGTAAAACTTTTCGTTGTACAAGTTACAAAAGGCGCAATTAGAGATATCGTAGTTGCTGGCAATATGCAGCTAAAAGAATGTACATTATTTCGTTGGACTTAACGGTTAACATCTAACAGGCGATCACTCAATATTTATCGTCATTATCGACCAAGAAGTAAGAAACGGAAACTTGTTAAAATACTTTGTGCTGAGAATTCTATATTGTACTAAAAATATAATACTGAATAAAGCTAATAATAATAATAAATAGTGCTTGCGCACAAGACTGATATGTCCTGGGTTCAAATCTGGCGAGGCGGGATGGTGAATGTACACTGCTGAGGAGCCCCGTTCTAGGACAAAACGGCCGTCTAGTGCTTCCAGGTCTTCCATATTGGTCTAGCTTCAATTGACTCATAGTCTCAACTATTGAAATAGATTGAAAGGAATATATTTCTTCGCTCTAATTGTATTTCTTTCTAAATATGTAAATATGGATTTTCGCCTTACGAAATGCAAATATCAATCTGGTATTATAATACAGCAGTAGCTTAATGATTGAACTTCACTTCTGACTAGTGAATCATAAGTTCAAACCCCACCCAATTTCGGTTAGGATAACCGAGATAGTATCACTAATGCTTGTAAACAATATGGCTCAAAATTGAATACATAAACTCGTATTTAGTAAAACATTTAGTTTAGTTCATTAATACTATGAGTTTTATAGCTTATTCAATATGTGTAGGTTTAGTCATTTAGAACCTTATTTTGACACAATGCTTTTTCAGTCTCTCTCTCTCTCTCTCTATATATATATATATATATATTCCATAAGCCAAGGCTATCTGAACACAATTGGCCTAGTAACCAATTTGTTAACCTTAGGTAAATGTCATTTCCATTAAAACTTCTGAAATATTCTTTCCATTAAAATCATGATAAATTGATAGTATTTAATGTGTATTGTTTGTGTATACTGTATATTTACATTTTCTTTTTGTGGAAAGTATTTGACATTAGAAATGGTCAGAAAAAATAATGTTGTACTCAATTTATCATTAATAAATTAAAATAAACAAAGAAAATCAGTTCAAGAATCCGCTTTTCTAAATTTTTGTTTAAATATTAACAGTTTCTGTATTACATCACTGATAGTCAACTACCTAATCAATAAGTTAAATCTTGTATGATGTTGAGATTATTGACGGTGTTCATCAGTAATAAAGTATATTTTTTACAGTTACTGGATTATAATCAGAGAGGGGTATTATGTATATTATAGTAATTTAATAGTTGAACTCAGTGGAGTTCAACTGAGTCTGTTGTGAGATAGTAACTCACTGAAGAAAATGGTAGACGGTGGCATAATTTCGTGGATTGGTTGAAGTTAGACATCAACACGATTGGATGCCGGCTCAGAGGTCTAGAGGTTAAGCGTTCGCGCGTGAGACCTATAGATCCTGGGTTCGAGTCTCGCGTTGCGGGATCGTGGGTGAGCACTGCTGAACGGCCATCCAGTGCTTCCAGGTTTTCCATGATGGTCTACATTCAATTGAATCATGAATTCAACTATTATGTTACTGTATTAGTTTATTTTCTCCAATGTATGTTCAACCAGTTGCCTGTTTGTTTTTGATTTACAAATCAATATTGGAAATTAGAAATCATTATTAATGATGTGTATGTAATTCTTTATGTTTGTGTTTACTGTAAAACAGTAAAGTTAATCTTTAAAAAAAAGAGTTAATTTGTCTAAATTTCATGTCATTATTAAACAATTAAAACATTTAAAAGTTAATTATCGTATATTTTGTAGATGGATACAAGGTTAATGGTGTAAATGTGATTGAAAATTTTGTTAAGTAGAAGTTTTTAAAGTCTAAATATTTATATGTTTAAAGCAATTAACCTCGTTTATTAATTCCGATAGAGCAATTAGAAGACTTAGTTGATCAAGCCTAGGATAATGGGACAATTTCTTATTCTTTCTGTATGATGTAGAATGTTTCTCTCTCCATTGTTTCCTTTTTTACTTGAACTTTCACTCAATTGACCTTTATTAATTTTCATATAATATAAAGCCCTGACAAGTATATGCGTGACCAGATTGTTCGAAATGTATAGCGCAAGTACATCATATTTTTCTGATTAACTCTGACTTCTAATTGCTCTATCGAAATTCATGTGTTTATCAAATATAGATAAATACCGACTCATTGGTCTAGTGGTTAAGCGCTCTGATAGGTCCTGGGTTCGAGTCTGGCGAGGCG